GCTGCTCCTTGGAGGCAAGGATTCTGGGGCTTTGTCTGACATACTTTGGACATGTTGTAAGGAGAGACAGGTCTTTGGAGAGGGACATCATGCTGAGTAGAGTAGAGGGACAGCGCAAGAGGGGAAGACCCTCTCTGAGGTGGATTGATTCAGTGACTGGGATAATCGGGATGGATGTGTCAGAGGCAGTGAGATTGGCGCAGGATAGAGCAGGGTTCAGGGCTGTTGTACATAGGATCGCTATGAGTCGCAAACGACTCAATGGTACATAACAACAACAATATAGATTTTTCTACAGCGCCACTGTTGGGCATAATAGAATGTGTCTATTATGGGATGCTAAACAGAAGGTCAGCAGTTCACACCCACCAAGCTGCCCCAGAGGAGAGAAATTCAACAGCGTCCTTTCATTAAGTTTTACGGCCTTGGACCTTTATGGTCTGGGTGGATATGGCAGCAGTGGGTACAGCAGCATTATAGGGCCAATGGAATGATGTTTTCAAAACATTGAAGGAAGATAGTTATCCATATCTGTCTAAATTACTATTCAAGGGGAAAGGAAGAGTGAAAAAATTGAGGCAAAACAGAAATCTACAGATACTTGCTGGTGACACTATAATGAAAAATGCCACTGAATATTTGGCAAAGAAAAGATTAGTTGTAAGAAATAGTGGTGAATAATAGCAGCAAAAAAGGTAAATATGTGAATTTAATTAAGTGCATTTAGTATAAAATATTAGTAATGATTAATTTGGTTTTTGCAATTACTTGCTATGCATCAGAGAGCTGGACAATGACTAGGAATGATGCCTTTGATCTGTGGTTCTGTAGAAGAGTATTGGATATACCATGAACTGCTAGGAGAACAAACAAGTTCGTCCTGGAGGGGGTGAGGCCAGGCTGCTCCTTGGAGGCAAGGATTCTGAAGCTTCATATGACATACTTTGGACATGTTGCAGGGTGGGATCAGTCCTTGGAGACATCATGATTGGGAGGGTGAAGGGACAGCACAGGAGAGGAAGAGCCTCGATGAGATGGATTGATTCGGTCACTGGGGTAATGGGGATAGGTGTGTTGGAGACAATAAGATTGGCACGGAATAGAGCAGGGTTTAGAGCTGTTGTACATAGGGTCACTATGAGTCACAGGCAACTCGACAGAACATAACAATTTGGGATCTAGACCAACCAGGAACTAACAGATTCAAGGAGTCTAATGCCAGAAATTCAAGCTGAATTTAGAAGAGGCTTTGGCACCAGAGATACCATTCCTGGTGTTACATTAATCCTTTATCAGCAGAAAATGCCAGAACAGTGTCTGTTTGTGCTTTATTGACTATGGAAAGGCATTTGACTGGTTGGATCACAACAAATTCTGGCTAACATTGAAAAGAATATCTATCCCAGAACACTTAATTGTCCTCATGCAAAACCTATACCAGACCAAGAAGCTGCTGTCTGAACAGAGCAAGAAAACTTTACGTGGTTTAAAATCAAGAAAGGTGTGCATCTGGGCTGTATCCTTTCTCTATACCTATTCAGTCTGTATACTGAACAGATTATTTAGGAAGCTGAACTATGTGAAGAAGAATGTGGCATCAGGATTGGAGGAAAACTCATCAACAACCTGCATTATATAGATGAAACATCTTTGCTTGCTGAAAATAAGAGAAACTTAAAGCACTTGTGGCAAAAGTTCAAAAACTACGGCCTTCAATATGGACTACATCTCAACATCAGAAAAGCAAAGCTTCACCAATGGGTCAGTAGGCAACATCATGATAAATAGAGAAAGGATTGACATTTTCAGTGGTTTCACTTTTGGCACCAGCAGTCATAGAGGCTGGGCTCTATGAGGAGGAATTTTACATCGGGATTGGAGGAAGACTCATCAACAACCTGCATTATGCAAGTGAGACAACCTTGCTTGCCTAAAGTGAGGAGGATCTGAGGCATTTGCTGCAGAAGGTCAAGGACTGCAGCTTTCAAAATGGACTGAAGCTCAGCATCAAGAAAACAAAAGATTCTCTACTGGGCCGATTGGCAGCATCATGATAGTGAGGAGGTTGAGATTGTTAACAGCTTCAGTTTGCTTGACTCCACAATCAACACTCTTGGTACCAGTAGACAGGATATCAAAAGATTAATTGCCTTTAGAAAATACGCTGTCAGGAACCCTTCCATAGTGCTGAAAAGCAACAGTGTCAGTCTGGAGACTATGGTGCACCTGATCCAGCCCATAGTCTTTGCAACTACTGGACAGTGACTGAGGAAGATAGAAGGAGAATTCATGCCTTTGAGTTGTGGTGCTGGAGAAGAGTATTGAAGAACAAACAGGTTCATCTTGGAAAGGGTGAAACCAGACTGTTCTCGGAGGCAAGGATTTTTAAACTCTGTCTAACATACTTTGGGCATGTTGCAAAGAGGGACCAGTCCTTGGAGAGGGACGCCATGCTTGGAGGGTGGAGGGACAGCACAAGAGAGGAAGACACTGGAAGAAATGGATTGATTCAGTGACTGGGCTAATGGGGGTGGGTTTGTTGGAGACGATGAGGTTGGCACGGGATAGAGCAGGGTTCAGAGCTATTGTACATAGGGTCATTATGAGTTGCCAGTGACTTGACAGCACTTAATAACAACAGTAATCTACATATCCATGAATCTGAAAAAATGACAGATAAAGTTTCATGCCAATATGTTGTAATCACATTGTTCAAAGCTAAGAAAAAATTCTTGAAAGCCATTAAGAGAGAAGTAACTAATCATGTACAGGAGATTTTCAAAAAGTTTACCCAGTAGCTCTATAGGAAAATAGACCTGGCAACTGGCCACCATAAAGATTACAATGTGGGGAACACCATGTGATGATTCTGCTCTGCGTACTCTGTCACCATGAGTCACAATCCATTTGGTATACCTAAAAATGGCAGCTGAATTATCAGAAAACATGAACTACAGAGCTCTGGTAGCTTAGTGGTAAAAGGTTGCACTGCCAACCCAAAGGTACTAGGTTCAAATTCACTAGGTGCTTCACAGGAAATGGATAGGCAGGATCCTGCTATGTGATTTACTACCTCTGAAAAACCTCAGGAGGGTTAGCTATGAGCTGGTTTTGACTTGACAGTTATAACAAGATAGGATACAGACCAATTATCTATCACTTAACTGGGAGATGAGAAAATAAACTGATGTTAACCTATTAAGTGATATATTAACTAGTCACCATCCAAACAATGGTAACAATACCATTCTTACAGAAGGGTATTCTAACAAGCAGTTTAAATGCACATGCTAACAATTATAGGTGGATAGATTTATGAGACAGTGCAGCATTTGTTGGTTTTTTTTGTTGTTTGTTTTTTTTTAGCATTTGTTTTTTAAAAGCGTGGCCTATTAAAAGAATCTATATGGTCAGTGTGTACCTTAAATAATTAACCCAGCTGGTGTTAGGAGCTCCCGTGATAAAGTCTATAGGGAGTTGTACAACTACCTGAAAGGTGCTGCTTCACTAGGGGTTCAGATCCACTAGGTGTTCTACAGGAGAAAGGTGAACAGTCTCCTCCTTTGCATTTTACAGCCTCTAGAACTCCACCAGAGGATAAGTTGGTTCCACCTCCACAGCAGTGAGTTGAGCTGGTGTTTGTTATACTTTTAAGTGTTTTTAACATTTTAAAAATAGGTAGCTGTGCTCTCCACTGATGAGATTGTTAAGTGGTACCTGTGGAGAGAAAGGACTGCCTTGTACAGCAAGTTGGTCAGTCATTTCCTCAGTTACACAAAGCTATTAACAGTGCAGAGGAAATAATTCTGATTGGAAAGTTTAAATAATTACACATGCATATAGGTTCCATGCTCTTGGAATGTAGACAACGTGACAGTTGAGGCATATCACTGCCCACTTTGTGTCCTAAACCTGTGAATCCACAGTGCCTTTGATATTTTACCCCATATAATTGCTAAGCAGAAAATTGAGAGCGTCAAGGCATTATTTCAGGTTTATACTATTTTGCTTTCTAGCTCTGAGTGATAACATTGTCTTGCCTTGGGATTTGGATGTCGTGTGATGATTACTTCTAGAGGCATATTAAACTCATTAGCTTCAATTCTACTCCTTTTCAAGGGAAACATTCAAAAGTGTTAGCAGAAAGATGTGTCTGTATGTTAATAAAGTACTTGAGTTACAGAAGGTGAAAGCCCACTCCTTCCTTTCTCAGAAGACTGTGAAAAGTTTACATAGCATCCTTGTTTCTTTCAGAACACACAATACTTTATATGCACCAGAAATGCTAGCCAAAATGGCAGAACCTTTCACTAAGGCCCTGGATATGTTTGAAGCGGAAAAATCAGCTATATTAGGTAAGAAATTTAACTTTTCTTTCCCTAAGTTCCCTTTCTCTCTCATTGCATTCTCTTTTCACCAGTTTCCTTCTGATCTGCCTATTTGTTCAGATGTATCCACAGAGGGATTTTTAGGGACTCTTAAAAAATGGGTTCTTTTACTTCATTATTTCAGCATCCCAGAGAAGGTCCTCTGAGGTAGATCGATGTTTAGTCACTTACATTAACCCTGTTTTCAGCTTAGCTGGGAGTGGTGAGCATTGCAGCCATTAGAGTATAAATAAACCCTGACTTTTTCCTTTGGTGGACATTAGTTTACATTCTTGCCTTTCATAATTATTTTTTCTTCTTTTTTTGTCATGGTTAGGAATATGCACCAGGGAGCCCTAATAGCTTTGTTGTTGTTGTTGTTGTTGTTGTTGTTGTTGTTGTTGATTGCCTTCAAGTCAAGCACAACTCATAGCGACCCTATGAACAAAAGGCCTGAAGCCTTTCTATAACTGTCAACATTTATCAAAGTTCATAGAGTTCCCAGAGGTATGTACTGCCAGTGCAAAGGTATGTGCTTCAAATCCACCAGCTTGCTTTGAAAGATAGGCAGTCTCTCCAATGTGATTTACTGCCTTTAAAAACCCTCTGGAGAGGGAGCTCTGGTGGCCTAATGGCAAGAAGCTGCACTGCAATTCCAGAGGTACGTGGTTCAAATGCAGCAGATGCTCTGCTGGAGAAGGAAGGGCAATCTCCTCCTGTACCAGTCAGATCCCATTTGATGGTACAAACACAAAAATAATTTTAAAAATTTTAAAAAAAAAACCTAAACCAACCTGCTAGAGGTCGGTTCCAACTTGATGGCATGCAAACCACAAGAAGATCTACAGCCATTTCATCCGTTTCTACATTGAAAACTTAGGGACACTGATTATATTCAAGTTGCTTTTGCAACCATTTTTATTGTCCTTTACTGAATTGTTCTCTTTTTCTTGTTTGAGCTTTCAAGTTGAAGTATCACAGTAGTCAGTGCAGACTCCAGAAGGCAGTCTGAAAATCCATACGATTTTGGCCGTTAATTTTAATTGTTAAAAAATTGAAAGGTGCCCATCAACAAATGAATGGATAGAAAAACTATGGTATATTTAAACAACGGAATATTGCACAACATAAAACACTGCAGCACTGAAAGACAAGGAACTCATAAAATATTCTACAAAATGGGTGACCCTGGAAGACATTATGCTGAGTGAAATATCTCCGTCACAAAAGGACAGATACTGCATAATGCCATTGTTATAAAACAGGACTGACATGAGGGTGAGGTAAACTAAGAAAAGAGGGGATAAATAATGAACACTGTGTTGAAACAGATGCAGGAAAGAACTGTGTAAAAGGAATATATGATTAGGTATTATTTTCATGACAACAGTCCAGAATAAGAGCTGCATAATAAAGGGGACAGGAGAGGAGGGGGAGGGAGGAAATTGTGCAACAATGAAACAATCTTTTTAAAGAGAAAAGGGAACTGGAGAAGCCATGGAGGAAAATATGTAACAATGAATAAATAGAAATCCAAGTTTTCTGTAAACTTTCTTTAAAATATCAATAAAAAAGTAAAACATTTAAACTCGTAAAACATTACATAACATGAAAGACTCTGGAAGATATTAATGCTAAGTGAAATAGTTCAGTTACAAAAAGCAAAAGGATAAATACCGCTTAACAGCTCTGTTACAAGATAGGACAGACATGGGAGGGTTCAGGAGTATATGGGAAAAGAATAGATACATAATGAACATTAGATCCTATGAAGGGAAGAACTGTCCAAAAGGAATATATGATTAGGCATTATCTGAAACAAGCATTGTGGGAATGAGGAGAAAAATGTGTATCAGTGGAAAAAAGTATTAGATAAAACATTTTTTATGTTTAAAAATATCCATGTAAAAATTTAAAAAAAAAAAGTAGAAACAGTTTAAATTACCTTTGCTGTTAAATTTGCATATAAGCCATAGTTGGCTCTTTTTGACATTGTCTTTGAGGTGCTATTAAATTAATTTCACTTTATATAGATCCCACATGACAGGGAATGGACCCTAGAAAATCTTTTGAAAGAGTAGATTCCAAGTCCTGCTTCCCAATTATTTCTAAAAGGTGACCTCCAATGGCAGCATGAAGAACGAGTAGAACCTGAGGAGTGGGGGGTTGCTGCCAAGTGGAGAAGCTGGCTCTCTGGGCACACCGAATGGTGGGACCAAGATCTTGAAGCACAAAGGAACAGCATGTTTTGTCCCAGGAATGTTGATGTTGCTCATGTGACTGGGACAGAGAAGCGGGGAGGTGTTATGGGTGGAATCAGAGCTAGAGACAGCCAGGATTGGCTTCATCTTGTGTGCATCTCTTAGCCTTCAGACTGGCTCACCACAACAACCCCACAATATCTCTGTGTTCCTAGCTCTGCCTCTGCTTGGTTAAGCTATGGTCAAGCATTCCAGTGAGCATCCCTCAGCTGTGAAAGTTAGCAAAGAGTGTTTGACTTTCCAGAGCTCTTGTCTGTCTTGGCCTGGATTGTTCTGAGCCATTTCCCCTGGTTCCACCACCTTAGCATCCATGTTGCAAATACCAGCAAAACTATAAATAACTGTTTTGTCATTAATATAAAATGTAGATGTCATTTCTGTGTACTATCTTAACCCCTACTTTATCAGTCCTAATTCTGTTCAAATGAAATAGAAATCTTCTAGTACAGAAATAAGGGTCTAACCAGAATACTAGAATAAGGAAGCTTGAAATAAAATCACCAGAAGGCAGAAATAACAGATCTTTTAAGGCAACTGTTTTTGTATTGTTCTAAGAAGGTTTCATTTTGACCTTTTTTTTAGATCTTGAACTTTTGCATAAGATTTTGTCTGAAAATAGGGTTCCACAACTTAAACTTGGTGGTGCAGGGTGGAATCATCCAGTGTTTTATTACCCCAGTGTTTCATTAAAGAGCATTCTGATCTGTCACTGTGTGTTTTGGTCCAAGTGCCATTTTGTGAAACCCCAGTAATAAAGTACCCAAAACTGACTTATCATCCTGTTATTTTTAAGTATCTTTCTCCTCACCTGTAAGAAATCTCTTAGAGCCTGCAGCTGGAAGACTTGACCAGCTACTTTTTGCCTGGTAGCACTTCCCCCAAACCACATTTGCCTGCTAGATTTTTTTGGCAGACAAGCAGCATGTTCCTAATCCTTCTTTTCTCTGTAGGATTACCTCAGCCTCTTTTGGAACTCAATGACTCTGTTGTCTACAACACTGTCTTGGAAAGAATGCAGCGTTTCTTCTGTACCCTCTATGAAAACTGGTAAGGAACAAATGCTGCCTGTCCATATTCTAGGTAAATATGTGTAAGAATGGCTATGAACTAGATTTTTAATCTAGACCTCTGGTGCATAGAAAAGATGAGGCAAGAAATTAAATACCAAATCAAAATAAGAGGTTTTACAAGAAATATCAAAATAGACTACTTTCCTGCATTTTCCCTTTTTGTCATGTAAGCCTCACAGCCCTAGCCATTGATGTTTCATGAAATACTAACATGTCTAATCACCAGTGCATGGAATGACAAGAAGAATGCTGAGGTTTCTTATTACTTCTGTAGAATGTCATGAGAAACAGCCACCTATGGTTTTGTGTTTAAGGTCTGATGGCACACACCACACCTGAGACATGGACCTCAGTAACCCAGTGCTCTCATCAGCCAAGCTAATGAGAGATTCTCTGTTGTTAATAAAAATCATACAGTAATAGGAGCTGCTGTTGACCTTAGGTACAGAAAGCTATCTTTTTCAAAGGTGCTATAACATCTTCCAAGGAGTTTTTCAAAAGAAAGTACATTTTATCTTTCATGTATGATAAGTCCGTAAGTATACTGATTAAGAAAAACTTCTCATAAGCATTTAGTAACCTATTAAATAGAGTCCATCTCCTAAGAAGTCCTTTTTTCTGGAGCTGAGAAATTCACTGGACAGTTAAAACAGATACTGAGTTTATCATTTCCAATGATCTTCCCTTACAGTTTCCATATCCTAGGGAAGGCAGGTCCTTCCATGCAGCAAGACTTCTACACGGTAGAGGATCTTGCTACCCAGCTCCTCAGCTCAGCTTTTGTCAACTTGAACAATATTCCTGATTACCGGCTCCGACCCATGCTTCATATCCTTTTAAAAGTCCGAAGAGTAAGGGGAAAGATGGTTTTCAATAAGGGATCAACATAGTATCCCTAAAGAAAGGACAGATGCAGAGAGGTATAGAAAGATTAATGGAAATTAGAATTATAAGGAGGAAATGGGAAAGTACAATTATATTATGGGTATTAACATAAATGTTACAGAACGAAATGTGTATATGTGAATGATTTTTTTTTTAAAGTAACGATAGATTTATTAGAAAGTTAGTCACAAAGAGAGGATAGACCCTCCTTGGAAAGGAAATGTGGAAGAGACTGTATGAATGATTGAATGAAAAAATTCATTTGCTATATAATCCTCCACTTAAATTACAAGAGAAACTTGAAAGGCTGTGCCGGGAGCAGGAGCAGTTTACAGAAAGTAAAGGGCAGTAGAGCTGAGTAGAAAAGATAGGATCATTGTTTGAGTGCATATTAAACTCATTAGGAGGCCAGGAGTCTGAGTAGGAGAACCATGAAGGCAATCCATGGGTCTTAAAAGCTCTATCTGTTGCTATTTGTAGGCTTTTCCATATTTACCATCTTCCTTCTTGGGAACATGAGAAAAATTAAGCTTTCACCTCTTTCTTAGGTGCTTTGTTGTCGATTGCCGTTGAGTTTAGCACGATTCATAGCAACCCTATGAACAAAAGACCTGAAGTCTTTCTGGAACTATCATCATTTCTCAAAGTTCAGTTTCCAGAGACATATTGTTTAGGAAGTGGATGCCACTCCTGCTTCCAAACATGTCTTCATCTGGGAGCTCCACCAAACACTGTCCACCATGGGTAACCATTATGGCATTCAGCACCCCAGTGGCACAGAATTCCGCATCAGAGTCACTCTAAGTTACTTCAGTTCAGCACCCCAGTGGCACAGAGTTCAGCATCAGAGTCACTCTTAAGTTACTTCAGTACAGCAAATTGCCCCCTCCCTACTTTTGAGCTACCCAGTCCTTTTTGAGCAGCCTAGAATGGGCAGTTAAATAAAATATATTTAATAATCAGTGTAGTTTAGGATTTTAGGAAAAGAGCTTGATGTTTTCACCTATTAATGCATTATATTCTTGTATGAATTAACAATGTGAATGAGGGAATGTGTGAAATCCAATGTATATGAATGAAACGCAGTGTGTATGGTGGAGGCGGGGGAAATGCAAAAATTCCCAATTATATTTGTAATTTTTAAAAAAATACATATTCTTAAAAAAAAAAAATACATATTCTTGGCATCTTGCAAGTCCTTTGGCCAAAAGTGCAGCCTGTTGCCTGTTTCCAGTCTCTGAGGGGAGAGTTGCTTTCAGAAGGAGGAACTGTGTGCTCATATGCTGACACTTCCTTAACCTGCCGCTGCATGGGTCTTTGTGAAGCCTCTGGTGCTCTTCTGTCCTCCAGAGCATTATGAAGCCCTGGTGTCTCCCATCCTCGGACCTCTTTTCACCTACCTCCACATGGTAAGAGACTGGTCAGAGGATAACCAAAAGGGACAAGTGGCTACTCCTGAGGCTTTGGGTCAAAGAGCTCCTGAAAGGATTATCCCCAATTCCAGCCTATTAGTGGTGCTGCAGTGCATTGAGTAGCCCCCAAAGAGCTAAACTAGTTCAGTTACCCATGAAACACCTTCAGACCCACATTGTGCTCCTAGTGTTCTGCTAACAGTAGTGACAGTGAGTGACCTGGAAAGTGCTTCTCCTGAGTATGTTTCCTTGATACTGGAATGAGGAAAGCGGAGGACCATCTGGATGGAGAACAGTGGTATCCAGAGAGACCCAAGAGGTCTAACATTATTCCTCTCCAAGCAAAGAAGTTGTCATATACTGCCTTCAGTCTGGGTGTGGGAGAGGCTACAGGCACCATAATCTGGCTTTATGACAGAGGTCTGTCATTGGTAACAGGAATAGTTCTTAGTTAATTTAATCATGAAACAGGCCTAAGAAATCTGTTCCACAACTCTCCTCAATTACTTCTCTTCCCCAGAGGCTTTCTCAGAAATGGCAAGTCATCAACCAGAGGAGCTTGCTATGGTAAGAAATACCCATTCTCTTTAATTGATGAGTTAGGGTGGGGATGGAGGGGTTCTGCTGTCAAGAGCCTAAACAGCAGTGTGTGCTAGTCATTTTGAGCCTGGGTGGTAGTCCTGACAGGCTGTGACAGTAGGCAGCACCTGAGATTAAACCTGCAGAGAGGGTTCAGGTGACTTAGGGAGGATACTGAAACATCTTTACTCACTTAGAACTTTGATTCTGTGCCCTCTATCCAGTTGGACATCGTCACAAGGCAATGATGTCGCTCAGTAGGTCATTACTATCCATCGCCCTTGCTTGCCTAGAAAGCAGACCAGAAGGAAGTGGGTGCAGAGGGTCTGGCTAGTGTCGCCACTTTCCTCACCCATCCCTTTCCACATTCTATGGCACTTGGCTCCCTGATTTCCTACAGTGGAGAAGATGAGGCTGCAGATGAAAACCCAGAGTCTCAAGAGATGCTAGAGGAGCAGTTGGTGAGGATGTTAACCCGAGAGGTCATGGATCTAATCAGTAAGTGATGTTTGGGAAACAGTTTTTCCTACAAAAAGAGCGCTGCTCAGCCAGCCAGCCAGTGAAACATGGCAGATTCACGTGTACAGCAATACTGATAGATTCATAAGAAACAGTCAACTAGAGATAGAAACTAGATAGTCCTCAGATCCATTTCGGGACATCTTACATAACTGTGAATGAAAATGAATTTGTTTATTCCAAGGCCAGAGGAAGAGGAAGTGACCTAAAATAGGAGTAATTAGGAGTAATGTTAGGAATAATCTTCCTGTCACAATAGGGAAATTTTTTTCATTCTTAGACATAGTTATAATTCACTTTGTTGTCGTTTCTGTGGAAATGTTGAGGCATCCTCTCCTGCTCACTTAGTCTCTGGGGATTCTCTAACTTTCCTACATTAAGTGAGTTAGAAGAAACAGAACAGTCTGATCAAGGACGTCAGAATTGCTCTATTACTGAAGCAGATTTTGAGGCCAGATTATATCCCTCCTTCCCTCCTAGCCTGTGCCAGACAATCTGGGATCAGTAGCCTGCCGTAGTTGTCTAGTACTAGTGTGTAACCAACCCTTCCTGCACACAGTAACCCTGCTTTTCTGCTTTAGCGGTTTGCTGTGTTTCCAAGAAAGGTGCTGAGCACAGTACTGCGCCCCCTGCAGATGGAGATGGTGAGTGAGCCTGCTGCCTGGCCCTAGCAGGTCAGCTTTTGCACTTCCATTTACTGTTCATTGTGAAACCAGGCTAGTTTGTGTGAAAATTCTTTTGCTGGTAGCCTGGGGAAGATGAGCTGCCGCGTGTGCAGCTTTCATCTTGTAATTAACTGTTTTCTCCACATAGAATTTTCTCCTGTTCCTGTGCTTCGTTCAAATCTCTACTCAAATGTCACCTCTTGAATTTTCCAGAAGCAACTTTTCAAAAATAGCAACCCTAGCCACTCCTGTTTCTCTCTGCTTTATTTTTCTTTTTTTTTTTTTCTTTTTATTATTTTTGTGTGAGTGTACCATCAAATCGGATCTGACTGGTACAGGAAGAGATTGTCCCTCCTTCCCCGGCAGAGCATCTGGTGGATTCGAACCGTGTGCCTCTGGGATTGTAGTTGCAGGTCCTTGCCACTAGGCCACCAGAGCTCCCCTTCTGCTTTATTTTTCTTGATAGCATTTCATGTTGTTATTAGGTACTATCTTGCTGATTGCAACTCAGTCACCTTGTATACAACAGAGCAAAGCCCTGTCTGACCTTGTGCCATCTTCAAAGTCACTACTGTGTTTAAGCACATTATTGCAACCACTAGGTCAGTCCATCTTCTTGAAGATCTTCTGATTTTTCACTGGCTCTTCAGTTTATCAAACATCATGCCCTTCACCAGAGTCTGGACCCTCCTGATAATCCCTCTCAAGTACGGGTGATAAAGTCTCACCATCTTTACCTCTAAGGAGCATCTGACTGGACTTTTGAGTACAGAGCCTTATTACCACCTGACATTACACTGTTTTTATGTATTATTTATTCTCTATTCCTAGATTAGAAAGTAAATTCCCATGTGGGAGGGGAGAGAATTTTAATTCCTGTTAATATCCCCAGTGCTGAAGTCTTTTGTTGCGGGAATAAAATCCTTTGCATTTACAGTTTTTTATTCCCAGTAGATCTCATTTCTCGTGGTGGTTTCACAAATATGACTAGATGCATTTCTCTATTTCCCTTGGGCAGGAATAATTTCTACACCCTTTAATGGATGATCCCAGTGCTATTCTGGCACCAGTCAACCCAAGATCCTCAACTGTCCTTTGTTCTTTAGGCTTCTGTCAGAACAGGATAGTCTTATCTTGAGAGGTTAGAGCTTACTGTTTGCTCTCTGCTCATAGATGAAGAGATGATGGCCACTGAAGTAACCCCCTCAGCCATGGCAGAGCTCACGGACCTGGGAAAATGCCTGATGAAGCATGAGGTGAGTAGAGGGGTAAGGGCCACCTTTTTGTTTTGCCCAGGCATAGACTCAGCATACACCTTTCTCATTCTGTGACTCCACCAGAAGTGTTCTCTGGTAACATGCCTTTATAACTTGAGCTCCTATTTCTTAAAAATCCCCAGAAAATAGAGAGGGGGCTGAGGATTATAAGACCTTTGGAATATCTCCCATATCGGTCTGTGCAGAGACTCTTGGAAAAAACCAAGTGCAAAACAATTCCCTATGCCTTAGTGGTTAGCTTTACCCTGACCTTTATCTCCTTACGTCTCTCTTTTGTCCTTTTGTACTCTCGTGTCTTTTTCTTTTTGAATGTCGGGTATACAGAATAAAGTAAACTCACTTCTCTTTGGTCACTTCTTTTAGAGAAAATTATGCTGCTTTTTTCCATTATAATCTTTCATCCTTTCCTGTTCAGGATGTTTGTACAGCACTGTTAATTACAGCCTTCAACTCCCTGGCCTGGAAGGATACACTCTCCTGCCAGAGGACGACCACACAGCTCTGCTGGCCTCTCCTCAAACAAGTACAGTTACTCACTTTTCTTCCTCATCCCTTATGAAAGCTTTGGTCATGAAAATCGACTGAATCAAAGTATTGGGGTGCACTCGGTTCCTGGGGTGTTCAGAGTCTGTCTTTGGATCTCAGTACAGCTGTCTCCCCAGGTGCTGTCAGGGACATTGCTCGCAGATGCTGTTACGTGGCTTTTCACCAGTGTGCTAAAGGGCTTACAGACACATGGGCAACACGACGGGTGCATGGCTTCCCTCGTCCACCTGGCATTCCAGATCTATGAGGCGCTGGTGAGTGGAGGAGAGACTGCGGGAGGAAGCATGGAGGCCGGCTGGCCATAGCTTCTTTGTCCCACTGGCCGTCTTCCAATTAGTTGGGCTTTACCCTGAATTTCAGCATTTGCTGAGTTTCTAGTGCTGTCCAAGGTGGATGTGTCAGGGAGTGGAGAGGATGGCAGGGCACACATTTACATTACTGAATAAGTTTCTCCTTCTTTATCAGCGCCCCAGGTATTTGGAGATAAGAGCTGTGATGGAGCAGATCCCTGAAATACAGAAGGACTCTCTGGACCAGTTTGATTGCAAGCTTTTGAATCCTTCCTTGCAGAAAGTGGCTGACAAGCGCCGAAAGGACCAATTCAAACGCCTCATTGCTGGCTGCATTGGGGTAGGTGGTTCCCAGTACACCTTCTTCTGGGCTCTCAGTTGTATCTCATGTGTGGGGTGGACCAAGGAACTCGAATGCATAGTGTACTACATGTTAGTACACTTCGTTAAGCAGGTGCTCCACGAGAGAAAGTGAGGTAGCCTTCAGTCAGACTAACTCCACCACAGTGGGCTGAGTGTTGGATGGGACAGACTAGAAACCAGCTAGTCACTCATGACAGTAGGATGATCTTTAAAAGAACTGACTACTCAGGGCCCAGCTTTAGGGGATTTTTACCTCCCTTGTTTTCCACAGAAGCCCTTGGGAGAGCAGTTCCGAAAAGAAGTTCACATAAAGAACCTCCCATCACTTTTCAAAAAAACAAAGCCAATGTTGGAGACAGATGTGCTGGAAAATGATGAGGGTGTCCTTGCCACCATCTTTGAACCGTGAATCAAACTTTTGGGCATCCTTCCTTGGCCTTTCTTGTCATCTCTTTTTCCCCTTCTTAGCCACTCTCTAGGCCCATCTCACTGTCACCTTGCTTTCCCCATTGTCAGCCTGGAGAGGGGTCCAGGTCTGAAACTGGAAAGAGTGGACCCTCCTGTTCAGGGCCAGACGTAATTCTATTGAAATATCAAGAAAGGGAGTTAGGGCTTCCACCATGCTGTCTAGATCTCCTAGGTGTCTCTCAGATCCTGCTTGGAGTTTTGCCTTTTCCAAGAGAAAAGCTAGAGCAGAGCAGCCCTTCTCAAGCCCTCACACCTATCCAGGATGGTAAGTAGGGGTGCTGTACCCAACACTGCGACTGGTGGCAAGGGTTCAATCTAATCATTTTGTGCCAGAGTTCCTCCTGGACCGCTGTAAGCACACTGACCTCATGTGAACGGTGGAGTCTGTCAAGGTCAGATGCCAAATGCCAAGCTCAGTTTGGCCTGTTGCTGTTTTGAGCAAGTATCTGGTCATCTGATGAGCTCCACGGTACGGGCTACTGCCTCAGTTGGCACCTACCAAGTGTAGCTTCTGAGGATCAGGATTGGGTCTGGGTTCAGTGCTCTAGCTTTCCCCTTGGTGTGGTTTTTCCAGCATCTGAAGCCACTCAGGCACAAGAGCCAACGTACCCTACTTAGTGTCTCATGACACCACTGGCATCCCAGGATGATCCAAACCAACAAAGCTACATCTGAGACTAGTAGCTAGCTAGTTAAGCCACTAGTCCCTCCTAGGCAAGTCCAGGTGCCTTCAAAATCTCATGGTCTTTCAAGTCCCTGGTCACTTCTCCCATGGGGCATTTCCCTGTGAAAAAACAAACACCACAACATAAAATACGCCTTTCCAACACAGCTTGTTCTGAGTCACCAGTCTGTTCTAGAGGTTACTAGAAAGGCTGTAAGAACAAAAGTCTTAATGACTCTAGCCCTAGCCCATTTCTGGCACAACATAAAGGTTTTCATGTGCTCTGTACAAACCAGAGGCCTGCCAGCAAGTCAGTCTCCTAACACAAGGGCTCTAGATGGAGGGTCATGTGGCCTGGGCCATGCATTTTGGCTGAGGCAGAGTAGGGGGTGGCAGGAGACAAAGCTGAAGACGTCTCATGTTGCTGTCCCTCTTCGTGGGGTTTTGCTTTGTTTGTGAGGGCGATTTTATGGCATTTCCCTCTTAAGCTAGCTAGCTATAGTTAGGGCTGTGGAGGACAGAGCTGTATTTATTGTGTTGTAATATTTTTAACATCTTGTGACTTCATGTTAGAAGTTTTATATTAGAACCTTTTTGTAGAAACATGAACTCTAAAGCACATCTGCATGTCAGTAAAAACAGATTTTTCTATGGAAAGGGCCCTTTCTGCCTTTTTCAAACTAGACATCAATGACATACTTTAGGGTCATAACTCTCCAGGAGCCTCCAGGAGTAAAACAGGAGAACTGTGACTGTTAGACTTGTCCTGTTAAGCTTTCATACACAGTAGTATGTCAGCTAGAAAAAATTTCTGCTCCTGACCCATCCAGGCTTGATATTCTCACTGTCATAGATGGCTGCTGGACTAGACACTTAACCAGGCCCAAGGGAATTGTTCTATCAAGAATTTATCCCTTATAAGGATCTTTCTTGGGTCTGGCTATGCCTTCAGAAGCCTTTTTAAAAAAAAAAAAATTTCTGAGGCTTTATAAATGCCCTACAGTGTTCTTAATTGCTAAATGAAAAACGTGTGTTGGGGACTTCTAATTTGGATCCAAAAGGTTATGACCAGAGAGTTTGTGTTTGAACATGTGTTTATTTACATGAAAGGCCTTACACAAAGGCATAAAAGTCAATTTCCTGGCACATTTAACAAAATGTATTGACTGAAAATAACAGTAAAAGTGTCCTGGAAAATTCAGGACCTTCTGTTACATTGTGCACTCTGTACAGCAGTCCCACGGGTACAGATCAGAACCTGAAAGGGTTTTCCAAACCCAGCCATCCCAGGAAATGTCCAGTGCAAACCTCAGTCCATCTGAACTGCATCTAGTTCATCCAAGAACCGCCGGCATTTCCCCATCAGGACTTTGATGGCTTCACTCACCAGCACATCTGGTGGCAATACCCCTGTGGACTCAACAGAAACTGGGGACAAAGGAGGCACATTAGCCCAGGTAGGTTTGCTTGCCCTAGTGCTAGCTAAGTTCCACATGACATCTAAATTCTGAAAGCTTCAGAATAAGTCCCTTACCCCCTTCACTTATACCCAAAAGTACTCACAGATAAAATGATCCCGAACCCGAGCCAGTCGAACAATCTTCTTTAACTTCTCATTCCTGAATACTTCTCTGCTGAAGGTATCCAGCCGGGGATTGGCAACTCTGGCCACCTTTTTACCTAATGAAAACAAGCCATATTATACTTTGTGTATTGGAGTCCAGGGATTTTCTCTCTGCTATCTTCAAAGAAAATTAAGTCCTGGCCTGAATAAACAGTACCCCAAATACCAACCTTGGACTTCCTGCACTTCAATAACACCAGGTGAGAAGCATTGCCTCAGTTCCTCAGCTGCCTCTCCTTCCACAGGCTCAAGGAGGGTGATATCAGGCAGAAGCCTGTAGCTGGCTGTTGCCACAGGTGAAAACTTAGCATGATCCTTGCCTGGGGGGTGGGGGGAGAGGAAAGTCAGAGCTTGCCAGAACACCACAGAAGTACATGCATCAGGGATACTCCACCTAAATTCCTTAGTCACACCTTGCCCCTACCATAATCACACGACCCTCCTGCCCAGGGTACCTCCACAAGGTTCTCACCAATGCCTTTGACACAGAGCATGAGTAGGTCGATCTCCTGGCCAGGCCGCAGCTGAGCAATGAGAATATCATCATGTACTGGCCGGATAGTGCCCTCTGGGAACACATCTGCCTGGTTCCCCAGGGGCACCCATGTCATGTGCCTGGTATACACTAGAGGAAAGAAGAAGCTTGTCAATAACTTTAAAACTATTACCTCTACCCCACACTCGCACGCAGGCTCACCTTTGTGGTTCACATAGAGTTCATTGGGGTCAGAAGAATCTTTAGAAGCATGGGGGTTCCGAGTGCACCTGATTTGTAGCCGAAACTGCAAAGTATCTATTTCTGTGCCTTCTTCATCTTCTGCACAAATATAAGAGGGAGGGAGCAGATCTTTAGGAACTAGTGAATGTTTTCGTGCTGGGCATTATACTCAGAGCTTTATGTACATTCCTCGTTGACTCTCAACATGGTTCTGAAACATGCATGTTTTAGAAGATTCCCTTTCCCAAAGATAGATACAATCCCAGGCAGTCTGTATCTAGAATCTTAACTTTAAGAGACGAGCTGCCCACCCTTTCCCAAACTCTCACCTTGGTTCCGATACTCAAAAAGACGAGGATCTGCACGAATAGGAATGAGCCCCAGCCGGTGAGCAAGTATCTCATCCTGGATGATGGATGTGTTGTTGTACACCAGAACCTTTTCCACAGCCATGGTTGGCACCTACCCAAGAAAGCAATCACCTATGGCAATTGGCTCTTCCATCCCTAGACAGAGCTCTAAGAGAAAACGCTTGATAGGACGTTTATAAAGAAGGGATAGATAGCCCAGCAAGATTAATAGGAAAAAACAAAAAGATCATCTGAAATGCTTAAATCAACAAGTGGCTCCTCATACAAGCTAACCACACCCCGTCAATACCTCAGCTAACAGAATGCGGCGAAAAGCATTGGCAATAGCTGCGTCGATTCCCACCATGTCGAACTCCAGTGAATCTTCATCCATGTGTACCACATCCACACGGAAATTCTAGAGAGACAGGAAAACTGCTAAGACCTGTTCTCTGCATAGTCACGCTATTCTCATGGCATAAGCCCTGATACTTCCCTTAACATCCTCTCTCCCAAAACCTCCCCGATGTGCAGTTGTCCTTTGTCCCCCAACCCTTTACTTTTCTGACCCCAAGAAAACCTTGTGTGATCTGCCTCAAACCAAACCCATCTCAAAGGCCATTCTACTAAACCATAGGGATGTCCACGCTGCTTAGTCCAAGTGATACCACTCAATCCTTATTTTACTGGAATCCTCTAGTACATTTTGAATTTTTTAATAAACTCTCCTTTTTAAAACTATTTCCTGGTTTTGAGCATCAATTTTGTAGTTCTCCCTGTGTCTCCTAAATACATTTTCACTTACCTATGAATAAAAACCTTAATTTTTTTGTCTCAAGTAGCCTCAATAATCTGTATACTGACAATACCCTCAATTCTTTCTCACCTGTGATCTAATTTCCAGGACATTCCGCCAGCCTGTGGGACTTACTCATGTTCAGAAAACATGCAAAACCATTCCTCTTACCCAGATTAAGTCCTCACCCATAAAGGAAGCTCTAATGAACTAAGCTGCTACCCAACGGCCTCTGGTATGTCAAGTCAACAAGCAGCTGAGGGGGGAGGAGGAGGAAAGTAGTCTCATTACAATTCAGAGTCCTGGAAGCCAGGTGGAGGGTTAACTATGGTTGAGGATTTCCATATTATTTATCAGTAAAAGCTATCACAACCTGTCAGAGCAGTTTTCTATGGCAAAAGAACTTCTACAACCCACAGTAAATCTGTCACCAATTTTACCTTACATTTCCAGCCTAAGTTTTTGTTTTCACCTTTAGGTCCCCATGCAATCTGCTTTAATCTCTGCATAATCTTCAACAAATGTATTCTTTTAATTTCATTCATCCTTAAAAACATACCAAAAGTTCCCTATTACCTACAGTGCCTAAAACACTCAGATCTTGCCAACACATGCTCACTCTGGCCCACTTCACGTTCTGCAATCCTGAACTACCCAGACGTTTCCGGAGCAAATCTCGCCGTTCTAATTTGTTGTAACATACCATTCAAGTCAGAACCAACTCCTGTATGATCTCTAGCTGACTTTCAGAGACAGTTATTAACAACTGCTTGTCTTTATCTTCTGGGCAGCTAGTAGAGTCCAACTTGTTGCTTTAGGTTTACAGAGCAACTCCTTACCTCTAGGCCATCAGGCCCCCTTTTCTATGCCCTTCTAATTTATTTGTTCACAACTTCCATTCATCATTCAAGGCTCAATTAGTACTCTCCTTCAGCCTTTCCACACCATCCTGCCTCTGAAAACCCTCTAGACAATCAGCGATGAGGCTGTTCTGACTTTGATACATAAACCACTTTAGGGAGTTCTAATGACCTGGTAGTAATGCGTTCCGCTGCCAACCCTAAGACACGAGCTTCGAATCCACTGGCCGTTTCCAGGGTTAAAGATGGGCAATCTCCAATAGAGCTTCAGTTTCTGACAGCCCATTAAATGATCAGCTATGAGCTGGTTCCGGCACCATCACCACTTTACCACGTTAGATTCATTTCTCTGCGTCCGAACAAGAGTGAACCTTCAGTTCACATAACGGTGGAAACAACACCCATCACAATGCTGAGATGGGAAAATGCTAAACATGAAACCAGCCTTATAAGGCTTAGGCAAAAGTTGTTCAGATCACAATCTGGCCCTACATAGGAGACTTCACCCTATTCTACTCGCTTTCCCTCCTGGTACTTTAGTAACCCCTCCACCTCCTTCACCTTCTCGAAGCGTTCCTGGTTCCAGGCATCATCATAACCGGAATAGTTGCCGGGGAAGTCGGTGGTATGAACCTAAAACGAGAGATGAAACTGTCCACAAGTCTAGTCCGTCCCCACTCCGCTCTGACTTTGTTCCTCTCTCCCTCTCCGTTCTGAGTCCAAGGTCACAAAACTTACATTGCGAACCCCGAACTCCCCGAGAACCACGCGGCTCCGCATTTCTTCCACCGCCTGAGCAGCCGCCATCTTCAGCCGCACCACGTAACGAGTGCGTCAAAGGGCAGGGTGCAGTCTATTAGTACCTTCCGTCTCCTTGGTAACGAGGCAGCGCCCAGAGGTTTAAATATCGCGAGAGTTTACCCGGTCCACGTCCCCAGCTTTCGTAAGCCAGTTTAAGCCAAACATCCGGGTTTCTCTCGTGTGCGTTCCGGTTGCTTCACTCTCTCGTAGCCCGTGGGCGTCTCCCTCCCTCAAGCCCACGTCTCGCCCACTTCGCGCGCGGGGTAGCGCGGGCTTCCGCGACGGGAACCCTTGAGGGATATGGCAGCCACGGCGGCCCTGGCCACCGGCACCCGAAACGGGACTGGCCCGGAATGGGGAGGGTTCGAAGAAAACCAGGTAATGGCTCCAAGGCTCTGGCTGTCAGCAGCCCCCAGGCCGGTAGCACTCCTGAAATGTCTTGGAAACTCTCCTTCGAAGTCTAGGAGTCCGCTTCTAACCACCTCGTTTGCTCTTGTTGCAACACTTCTCTCTTGTCGATCTTTGCATGTAGATAGAAGTGTCAGGGTTAATGCTGACCTGAGGGTTCCAGAGTAATACTCGAGTTGAAGGGCCTTGGCTCTCTGGACCTGCCCGAAGCTTTAGAAAGTGTCCCCTGGCTTTCAGGACAAGTTGGAAGGTTGGCCGGAGTCAGGCAGGACCGAGGAAGGGTGCGATCACGGGCACTGACTTAAAACGTTGTACATATAAACTTGTCTTAGTTCTGTGACAAGTAAAGGAAATGAGCACTTTTCAGCACTTCGAGAGTTCGATAGGGAAGATAGACAGCCATGAGTGGAAGACAGGTAACCCAGGAGAAGAGAACTAAAGGTAAAACCTCAAGGTTCTGAGCGCAAAGGAGGGGGTGAGAATGCCAAGATCTGTGATGATTCCGAGCCACACCCCCAGCAGTGAAAGAAACCCAGACCTTGGAATGAGCAGTTGTTATGTTGTTTGGCACGACTCATAGATGGCCTTCCAGCGAGTTTTCAGACGCAGAAAATTGCATGGGAGGAAGTTGCCCATCTTTCTCACATGGAGAGGCTGGTGGATCTGAACAGAGCGGCTTTTTGTATGCAGGGCAAATCCCTACTGCTCAGCCACCAGCACTGCTCAGCCACCAGCACTCCCTTGAGATAAGCAAAGCCGGCATCCTAGGAACCATTGTTTTCACAGGGTGGGGGCTCAGCTGTGATTGACATGGAGAACATGGATGACACTTCAGGCTCCAGCTTTGAAGATATGGGTGAGCTACATCAGCGCTTGCGGGAAGAAGAAGATGATGCTGATGCGGCCGCAGCTGAAGAAGAGGATGGGGAATTCCTGGGCATGAAGGGCTTTAAAGGACAGCTGAGCAGGCAGGTGGCTGATCAGGTAAGCAAGACTGGATCCTTGGCAAGTGGAAGAACAGTAAGGCATGCTCTTGGTTCTGGACTTGGTGTTAGTGAAACCTATCCTAAGTTATCCAGCTGGAGCCATGTAGAAATACAATAGAAAAATAGGGAACAAGCCCCAGCACCAAGAAGCTCATAATACCCATCGTTCCACCCTCATCTTGATTCAGATGTGGCAGGCAGGGAAGAGACAAGCCTCCAGGGCCTTCAGCTTGTACGCCAACATTGACATCCTGAGACCTTACTTTGACGTGGAGCCTGCCCAGGTGCGAAGCAGGTAAGAATCTTTGTCCTGACTACTCTCCTAACACCTAGTCCTTCACCCGTTTCCCCAGTTCTTCTCTCTACCTCAAACACACTGTACTTCTCACCAGTCCCTGAAAACACATGTCACTACCACATTGCCTTCCTCTCCTTCTCCATGTAACAGACTCATCTTCTCTCCAAACCTAACTCAAATGCCATTCCTTTTGTTCCTTATTCCTCACCTCCATCCCCCATTTGTCCTCTCATGTTCCTTTAGAACTTTGTATTTTCTTTTGCTAAACAGTATGTCAGACTGCTGAATTTGTCTATATGACCTACCATCTTTTTATTCCTATCACCAGAATCAGAATGTCAGTACATCATTGCTGAAGACTTCCAAGAACTGGAATTCATTTTGGCTTGGATTTTGTTTTAGTTTGGGTTTTATTTCCCCACCCCTTGATTTAAGTAATGTCAGGACCACTCAGCAAATATTTATTGTTCTGTTTCCGTGGTGTACAGTTACAAATGGCACGCAAAGCTATAATGGAGATGCAGGGGCGGGGTGGTAAGAAAAGGGAAAAGGCAAGGCAGGGATCCAAATTTAGCTAAAACTCAGTATAAGAAGTTAATCACTTATGAAGAAAGCAAGGCAGAGACTTGTACCTTTTTTTCCCCCCCTTCTTCTTCTGTACCATTAAGTCAGATCTGACTGGCACAGGAGATTGCCCCTCTTTCTCCAGTGGAGCATCTGGTGGATTTGAACCACATGCCTTTGAGATTGCAATGTGAGACTTGTACTTTTAGTCCTTCTGCTTGGAATTGCCATACCACTTCATAAGTGGACCATACCATCCATCATGGCCTTCGATGCTGAAGGTTACTTTCTTTTAAAGATGAACAAGTCAAATAGGTCAATTGTCAGGCCCCTCCCCTACATCCAGCTGGGTTCTCTGTGCACTGCTGCTGTTTCTGTCAATGCGGTGTAAAAGGAATATCCTCCTTGCAGGTATTTTTAAAGGATAGGAAGTGACTTCCCATCACCTGTCTGTCTACTACTCTCCCCCCCCCCCCCCAGTCCTCTAGCATGTCTTCTGGTTGGGCCTTGTGCTCTGTAATTAGAGGTGTAAGACTCAGGCCTTGACTTTAAAATCGTATAGCCTAGTTCTTCCTCTGTTCTCTCTCCTCTCCTCTCCCAGGCTCCTGGAATCCATGATCCCTATCAAGATGGTCAACTTCCCCCAGGTGAATAGGGGATGGCATGTCTAGAGAGCTGGGGAGGCACCATGACAGAGGGTGGGGCCACCAGGCAAAGCCTGGGAAGGTAGAAATGGTAGAGCCAGTGTATCCTCCAGTCTGAATGATTTGGTTTATTGACAGAAAATTGCAGGTGAGCTCTACGGACCTCTCATGCTGGTCTTCACACTGGTAGCCATCCTCCTCCATGGGATGAAGACATCTGACACCATTATCGTAAGCAGAACTGAGGACTTGAGGGGAGGGGGCTGAACTAGGCTGAAAGCTGCCCAAAGAGAGGATGACGAAGTGAGAGAGACAGACAAGCCCTTGAGGAAGGTCGTGAGTGAGGTGGCTGAAATCAGAAGCCCTCTCAAGGCTAAGCAGAGTCTTCACCCCACAGCGGGAAGGTACCTTGATGGGCACAGCCATTGGTACCTGCTTCGGCTACTGGCTGGGTGTCTCGTCCTTCATTTACTTCCTTGCCTACTTGTGCAACGCCCAGATCACCATGCTCCAGATGCTGGCACTTCTGGTAAGGAACCAGGCATGGGGGTTAACGGGGTGGTTGTAAAAAAGTAGCAGGCATTGGTGGACATGGTCCTGGTTCCGCAGGTTGCTGAGGCCTAGAATGGGAGGAGCTGGCCAATGGACCCTTTATTCCCTCAGGGGCCCCATGAAGGGCCAGAGGCCAGTCCTGAATGATTTTACTTTCCACTATCATCCTCCTAGGGTTATGGCCTCTTTGGACACTGCATTGTGCTATTTATCACCTATAACATCCACCTCCATTCCCTCTTCTACCTCTTCTGGCTGCTGGTGGGTGGGCTGTCTACTCTGCGGATGGTAAGCTGGCAAGGGTTTTCAGTATTGGGCTGTCCTCCCAGAGGTTGAGGACACCAGCCCAGAGCTGAAGGGTTGTGAATGGGTGGGGAAAACCCAACATGGTTGTGCCCTGGGTGGGGGGGTGTGCCCCATCACTCGCTGTAGCCAGGCCTCTGAGCTGTGTCCTTGTGGGCCTAGGTGGCAGTGCTGGTATCCCGCACCGTGGGCCCCACTCAGCGGTTGCTCCTTTGTGGCACCCTGGCTGCCCTGCACATGCTCTTCTTGCTCTACCTACATTTTGCATACCACAAGGTGGTAGAGGGTAAGTGACAGGAGGGCCAGGGCTGGCATGGGTGTGGACAGCGGCAGGGGGCAGGATGAGATGGCCTGTGGGCTGGGCCCCGCAAACTCCCTCACTTTCCCTCACCTTTCTTTCAGGGATACTGGACACGCTGGAGGGCCCCAATGGCCCCAATATCCCGCCCATGCAGAGAGTCCCAAGAGACATCCCTGCTGAACTCCCTGCTGCTAAGCTTCCTGCCACCATCCTCAATGCCACAGCCAAGGCTGTCGCTGTGACCCTACAGTCACACTGACCCCACCTGAAATCCTTGGCCATCATCCCCCTTTGCCTCAGCTGCAGAGCAGAGGAAGATTAAAGGACAGTCCTGATGACATGTGTCTCTTTGATGGGGTCTCCAGTTGTCACAGAGCTGTAGCTGCTTAAGCACTTCCTTACTGCCTACGGGGCTTCTGAACTCCTGGCCAGAACTGCAGACTCTGCAACCAGTGCAGAAAGTGGGTCAGCTCCACTGAGGCCTCCTCACCACCTACCCTTTCCTTGCTCTTAACTCTTTCCCATATTGTCTTGCTAAATATAGACTTGGTAATTAAAATATTGATTGAAGTCTGGAGCTTCCACTACCATTCCAGTGGTCCTGCCTGCCACTCCGCTTCCTGTACATGCACAGTTGTGCTGTCGGCACTAAACATGTCACCTGCTCCCTTCTTTACACTCTCAACTCAGGGATGATGAAGATGGGACAAGTCCAAGAACTTAGGAGATGGTGTAGATATGAAGCCTGTGCTTGAGCGCAGGAGAGGCTGACCCATGGAGGGGCTGCGGACCATGAGCACAAACCACAGGCCTAAAGAGTGCACCCTCACTCCAGGCAGCCAAGGATAACATGACAAATGGATAAAAACACCCAGACCAAACTCCAGGTTGTTAAACGCCAGTATGCACCTGGATCATTCTACAGGAATCATTTCTTGTAGGAGCACAAACATGAAAATTGAGTCAGACTTCGCTCTGCCCCCTGTTCATGCTAAGGTTAAACAAAGCTCCATTCATGTTTCCTCATCCTTCAACAGTGATCTTACTCCAAAACCGTATCTTAGCTGCACCACCTAACCAGGGACTTTAATCTGTTCCACTTAAGAGTTAATTCCAGTGATTGGTAAATAGAAGGAATACAGTCTTCCATGGCACTCATCTTTTTTCTTTTTTTATTCTTTGTCATTACCCTGGTAAATCTAAGTCCGCAGTATCCTCTCAGTTTACTAACAGATGCCATATTTGCCCAAGTTAAATAAGTAAGGCCACCATCCTCAACAATGGACAGATTCTAACAGCCCTTAACATTGAACAGCACTCGGTCCCAAAGCCCAGGCTCATGTTACCAACTTCTGCTCACTCCAGGCCATGGATCTTGATCCCCTGGCTCATCTCACCAGGCCTGAGACCAGGGCTTCAACAGGAACCTAACCATAGTACCTGGAGAACTAGTGCCAAAGTTCACTTCCTCACTGCGAACGATAGAGTTGGAACTGTCTCGTAGCTGGCCCTCCAAATATTTGAGGTTCACCATTTGGGGCACCCTTTAAAATATCCTGGGCCGTGACCTTTCAGGCCCCATTTGCCAGACTCATTTTGGCAAGAGACTGGTGGGCAGACTTCCCACGGAAGACCTAAAGTCCTGAGTGGAGTGAGGGACCAAGAGAAGAGAGTATCCAGCATCCTGAGGAAGACAAGAGTCTGGACCTCAGCTGAGAAATGAGATGCAGTGAGAAACCAGTCATGTTCCCAAATCCTCGTCCCTCTGTCCGTCTCAGTTGCAGCCCTTCCTTCTTTCTACCAAACGCCCGCTTTCCCCAAACAGAAGTCGCTGCAGCTCAGTGAGCTCCAGACACCGAACCTCCGAGCGGCACGGTGCGGTCTGAGCGGCCCGCGTGGCTGCACCAGGCGAGGGGCGGGGCAGGGAGACGTGACGCGCCGTTGCCATGGGAACCAGCGGCCGCCCCAGCGCAGAAGCGAGCGCTGGAGCTGCCGGCTGCCGCCGCCCGCCTGCCCGCGCCGGGCCTCGCTGCGGGCCCTTCGGCCCGGTTCTCGGGGCCAAAAGGGGAGCCGGCCTGGAGAACGGGCGGGAGCGAATGCGGACGCCTTTCGGAGACCGACTTTGCTCGTCCTAAGCTGAGACCCATCGGCTGCCACCGAAACCACCCCGGACTCGGACAAGGACCGAGCAGCGCCCGTCCGGCACCGGGAGCTGACAGCACGGACCCCCGCCACCCAGTCCCGGACGGCACGGTCCGCCCCTGCCGCGGCGCCGCTCGTCCTCCACTGACTCAGCCTCCGCCTCCACCTCCTCTGCGGCCCTGATCAGTCCACGGCCCCGGCCCTGCCCGCGGCTCCGCCATCCTCCGCCCCAGCCGCAGGCACCATGCTGCCCAGCTCCATTCAGATATCGGGGGAGCCCCTGTCGGGAGCCGAGGTGCGGGACATCTGCCGCGGCCTGCGCGACAACGCTGTGCGCCTCCTCTCGCTGCGCGGCTGCCGCCTCTGTGACCGCGACTTCGGCCGCATCTGCCGGGCCCTGGCCGGAGCGTCGTCCCTGGCGCAGCTCAACCTTAACCTGGGCGTCGTGTCCAGCCCCGGCCGCATCAAGCAGCTGGCAGAGGCGCTGCGGACCAACCGCTCCATCCAGTCCCTCTTGTGAGTGCGCGCCCTCGGAAGGGGCCCCAGCACTGCGCCCCTCCACTCGCCTCTCCACGCGATTTCCCCCTCACCTGTCTCCTCGCGCTCATCCCTTCTGCTCACCTGGTCCCTCAGCCCGTGCCACCGCGACATTGAGTCCTACACGTCCTCCTGAATGGAATGGGACACTCACCCCGTCCAGACAGTGCGCCTAACCACTGCTTTTACTTCTTGGGGACAGCTCTACCCTTCCCCCCAAAAAAGGAATAGGCCCTTGAGACTAGACCCCTTACCCAACATTCTGCCCACTGGAGAATCCCAGCCCATCACCCACATACCCATTGAGTGCCCCTCCCTGTGCTCTGCCTTGGATTCCCGTCCCTGCTCAGGTAAAGAAATCCAATTCCCTCCCAGCTGTACTCATTCCGAGTGCCTAGAATTCTCTTTTCCTGCTTGCCAGGACTCCCCCAAAAGCCATGACTGCATCCCTTTCCTACTCCCAGGGTTCGCAGAGGGAGGGGGTACAAAGAAGAGGTGCCCCTTTCCCCTACAGACAGCGCTAACGACTGTGATGACCTTTGCCCTCTCACCTCACCCCACCAGCCTGCATGGGAGCCCCTTGACAGACGCTGGGCTGGCCCTGCTGAACCCAGCCCTGGCCCTCCACCCTGCCCTCGTGGCTCTGGACCTGGGGGACTGCATGCTGGGTGACGAAGCTATCAACCTCATCTGTGGCCTCCTCCCCCCGGATGGGGCCAAGTCTGGTGAGCAGGGCCTTGCTGGGGGCATGGCCTCAATATGAAGAGCTAAGTACAGAGGGAAGGGGCTTGACCCGGGGCTGAGGAGGTCTAAAAGTGTGGGTGAAAATGTCATTGCAATTCCCTCAGAAGGGGGAAGGATTGGGGACTATGCAGATGGCAACTCTGGAATCCAAAGAGGGGATTCTCGGGTCCCTAATGGCCCCGGAGCTGTGCAATGGGAGTGCACCTTACTGACAGATAAGAGGGGCTGGGGAGAGGGTCAGGAGGATGGCCTGAACCTCCCCATCGTGGTTTCTCATTGCCAAGGCTTGAAGGAGCTGACGCTGAGTGCCAACCCCGGCATCACTCCTAAGGGCTGGAGCCGCCTTGCCATTGCCGTAGCCCACAGCTCCCAGGTTCGAGTCCTCAACCTGGACTACAACCCCCTGGGTGAGACTCAAAAACCCTTTCTATCCCAGCCACCCCACCTATTACCCAAGAGCCTGGGGCCATTTGATGTCAATGTAATCCCAGTAAGGGAGAAAGGAGGCAAGATGGGAGAAACTGAGAGGTGCTAGCCAAGTCACCTCTGTGAACCAGAGACTGAGCAGCCAGGGCAGGAACATGAGCATGCTGTCTCCCCAGGTGACCATGTAGCCGGGATGCTGGCTGTAGCTGTGGCATCCAGCCGTACCCTGGAGGTCCTAGACTTGGAAGGCACGGGGCTTACCAACCAGTCTGCTCAGGTGAGAAGTCACTGTGTGTGGGGCCAGGGAGAATAGGGGAGGTGAAAGTTAGATTTGTCTGTGGTTAGAACCTGAGGGTGGCAAGGTGTGCTTTAGCAGTATCTTAAACGTGACCATCTCTTTCTATACCCTTCTCTGCCCCAGACTCTGCTGGACATGGTAGAAAACTACCCAACGGCTTTGCGGAGTTTGGTGTTAGCTGAGAACAGCATTAGTCCGGAGCTGCAGCAGCAGATTTGTGACCTCCTCTCTGAGGGAGAGGAGGAGGAAGAGGTGGCAGCAGGGGCTGGTGACACCCGAGAACGGGAGAGAGGGAGGGAGCCCACTGCCCATCAGAGGGGCAGCAGCTCCTGGATATGCCCCAGTGGTAAGAGCCCTGAGGGTTGACCAGTCAGTCCTGAAAGAGGCATTCCCACCAGGGAGAGTGGGAGTGGGAAGTCTAAGACACCCTTCAGTTGTTGGTGGCCCGAGGTGGTGGCCTGAGCACCTTTTGCCCCTCCACAGATCCCAGCTCTCAGATGGTGCTAATGACGTCAGGACTAGGGGACAGTCTGTTGGCTGAGACGGAGATGTGACCCCTACTTGGGCTTCTGCGCATCATTACATTTGTCTGTGTCCCCAGCACTTTGCTCCGGATATCAGGGTCTGGTCCTGGGGCCTGGGAAATAAATAGGGGGTAAAGGCCTAGGCTCTGGCAGCTCTGGCCTTGTGGTGGGAAGCTCTGGAAGCTGTGACTGAGCACTAGCCTTGGGGGCCACTTGAACCCGAGGGAAAGCCTCTGCACTTGTTAGCAGCTCTAGCTGCAGCCCGCTGGCTCGGAAGAGATTTTATGAACTACAAAACCTGGTGTGTGGCTGTGGTCACTGGGGGCTGGAAAGACGGGAGGAACTGGAATTACCACAAAGCACCACTAGGGGGGAGTACCACCCAGCCTCTGTGCAGAGTCCACAGGGCCTCAGAGTCCTAGGACCTCAGCTTTGAGGTAACCCCTTACTTTCTGATTCATCAAAGTTAGAACAAAGGTAACCACCACCTGCATAGCTGAGTTGGCCTCTGCCTTCAAAGGGGACCTGCAAAGGTTACTAGAGGAACATCCCCTCTTACTTCTTGATGCTCTGAGTCCAGGAAAGCCCCAGAAGTTTGGGGAAAAAAGGGGAAACAGTAGGATGAGGATCTTCTGGACACACCCAAGCATAAAAATGCCATTAAGATATAAATGAGACAATACCAGTAAAATAGTTTATTTGATTTTAAAATAGTCATCAATGTGAAAATTTCCCAAAACTGGGAGTAACAGTCTAGAGCCAAGGCTGGGAAGCCAGGCCTCACTCCCAGCCTAGCTTGAGGCCCTGAACCCCAACCTCCACTCCCTTCCAGAGGGAGGAAGGAAACAGCCAAGGAGAGCCCTGAGTCAGTCCCTCCCTCACCCCTAGAACCAGCTGTGCCAGGCCCCGTGATGGCAACAGCTCCGGCAGAAAGTCTGCGGGGAGAGGGAAGCAGGTGAAGTACAGAGAGGGAAGGTTAATAACCCCCAACATACTCCCTACACACTCACATGAAGGGGGGGTGGAGTGGGAAACAAACTCAACTAAAAATCCATGGGTATGAAAGGATGAATACTGACATGATAAACCCTTGTCTCCACCGAGCAGCCCAATCTGGGCCAGCAAGAGGGGTCAGAGACCTCGCTGCATGTTACTTTTGGAGAATAAATATTTCAGTAAGGAAAGGGGGGAAAAATGAGGCAGGCTGCTTCCAGTCAGTGGATGTCAATGAAAGGCTCAGCATGGCCCACAGATGGCTCCACCCTCACAAGCCTGGAGGGGAAGAGCGAGGGCTGCTTGCCCTCCTGGTGGTCCAAGTGCAGCAGTGGCAGGAGGGCAAGCAGGGAACCTAACTGAGCAGGTTGCCCTGCTCCTGGGCGTGGGTCAGGCTGTCTTTGCGGTGTAGGTGGTGAACCCCCATTCTCTTAGGGCTGCGCTGGGGGCGACTGGAGTTAGGAAGTGGCCAAGCCCTGCCCTCACTCTGGGATGTGCCAGACCCCTCCTCTGTGCCACTAGCACTGGGCAGCAGGCTCTGGCGCTCCTCCTCAGGGCTGACAGGCAGGTTTAGCTCTTCTTCCTCCTCCTCCCCGGGATGGTCAGAAGCAGATTCTGTTGGCAGCAGGACTCCACTCTCTCCAGGAGAGGAAGGTACCTGTGCTGCCTCGTCTCTGTCAGTGGAGCTAAGGGCAAAGTGGCGCTGCAGCTCAGGGAGCACGTCACTTCCAAAGGCAGTGCGCTGGGTGACAGCAGCTGGTGGCGGGGCACGGTCCACAAACGCCCGCTGCCAGCTGGCCAGCAAGTCCTCCTCCGAGCTAGCTGAGCTGGCCAGGGCGCTGAGTACTGGAGCGGCTGGGCTGGCCTGATGGTGGGGTGAGACCTGGGCCGAGGCAGGGCTGCTGAGGACCGGGCTGGGGCGGGCCCGCTCTCCCCCCTCCTCCACCAGGCTCAGGGAAATGGCCTGTCGAGTGGCATATGTGCAGTTAGGCAGGGGGCTGTTCCGGGGGATCCGCACCTTATCCTCAGAGAACTCGATCACCTTACGGCCAGGATACAGTGGGTGCGGTGGGGATGGGGTAGGGTAAGGGCTTAACTTTTCAAAAGCTGGCAGGGGCAGCTCCTCTTCTGGAGAGCCTCCAGCAGTGCGCAGCGAATGGCATTCCCCATTGGGCTGGGAGGCAGGGCTGCCAGGGGCGGAGGGACTGGATGGGTCACCCAGAGTATCCCCACTCATGTCCACATGGACAAACACATCCTCAGCCAAAGGATGCCCAATACTGCCTGACTGGGCCGAGTTGAGCAGCAGAGACTCTGGCTTCTCCAGCACACGGGCAATGACAGAGGTGGGCACCACGGACCCTGGGGCCAGGCTGGGCGCAGGGCTTGGGCTGGCAGCCTCGTGGCTGTTGTGCAGATGCTTCTGAACCATGTCCTGTAGCTCACAAGGCAGCTGGGGGAAGAAGAAGGAAGAGACATGAGTGATCCTAGCTGAAGGCGGATGGCAAAAATATGGACCACCCCTTTTAAAGTACCAGCTTGTACTTGGCACTGTGCCGTCTCTGTCTGCTCAGCATACCACAATATATCACAGGGGTGCCTCTGATGAGGTTATAATTGGAGACTCAGGAGGGGTAAAAGAACTGAGGCTTTGATTAACACAGCCAAAAGCTGAACCCAGATCTGCCTCTGAGGCCCATGTGCCCTGAAATCTCTCCCACCTCAGTGGTGGCTTGCGCCCAAATCAGAAGTAAATCTGGAGTATCCGCCAGCAGCCTTCAAAGCACCTCTCATCCTTCTGTAAGCCCCATCAACCTTGGGCTGGGCCTCAGGTCTCAAGTTTGCCCCTTTGGGGGAGGACAAGGAAAGCTTGAGTGGGCCTAATCCCCTCTCTATGCCCTATGACTATCAGCCCTGCCACCTTGTCCTCCCCACAAGTGATCCAGAAATTGAGCCCCTCCTTCCCTGCCTTTGTTCTAAAAATACCATCAGGGCTGGTCCCCCAGCCCTAGTGATGGGCCTGTGATTGTACATAACACCAAGCAGTGACAACTCAATGGATAGAGAGGTCATGTAGGTGAGAGGAGGCAAAGCAGAAAAGGGAAAATTAAAGGAAGGGGAGGGGGAGTGAGGTGCAAAACTGGAGCCAGAGTTCAAAAAGGCTAGTTTGGGGCTAAAAAGGAGCTTTCTACTCACATCAGCGAACTTATGATTTCGGAAATGGGATTTATTGCACTTGAGGAGCTGTACAGCCAGGTTGCAGTCCAACCTATATCGTTCCTGCAGACATAGAACTGACTCAGAGGCTGGCCCTGCCCAAGGGAGCAAGATGGCCACAGGCCAGCCACCCCAGGTGAGGAAGGACTCAGCCCATTGGCTCCAGAGCAAGTACAGGGCACATACGTTGAGCTCCTCCAGTTTGTTGATGGTGTTCTTAGCATCCAGCAGCTTGTTGGTCAGTTCCACAATTTCCCAGTCTAGTGTCTTCTTATCCATCTCAGCCTTCTTGATCTAAGGCACAAAACTTCAGGTGAATCCTACTCATACCTCAGCCATTCCCTCCTTCCCTCACCACCTCCTCCCAGTCCTTGGACACAGGAAGCCACGGTGCTAGAGCAGCCAAGGCAGATACAACAGACAGGCAACGGACAGACAAGAGACGAGGGCAGCTTTCCTGCTCTCCAGGCCAACTACAGAGCAGGACCACAGGAAGGGCGAAGGCTTCCTGAGTATAACCACCTTCAGCCTGGGTCAGCATGAGAGCTGCCCACCATGTCAGGGAGCACCAAAGGTTGCAGGCACCAGGAAAGGCAATAACTGCAGACTTATTTTGCAGTTACTGCCTGTATGTGCAGAGAAGTGGGTGAAGTATGTGGGGCTGAGGGCACCAGTGAGATTATCTAGTGGTGCAGCGAGGGAACCTGAGATCTTCTGATCTTCAGCTCACTGCTGAATCCTAGTCCCACTCAATCCCCTAAAAACCAAACAAAACTGGCTTGAGCCTGCTGCCACTTTTGGCCAGGGAGCAAGCTGCGTGTTCAGTGGTGGTATCTGTCAGTGCCTCTGCTAGAGCCAAGAGCAGGCTCTCCAGCTGTCCTCTGGAAGGGGGGCCCTGACTCTACTGCATGGGGCTCGTACAAGGAAGAGGAAAGAGGCAGGAGATAATAAGGGTGGGCAGGGCCCCAGTACACCCAGATTTCAGCTGAAGAGGAGGCCAGGGCAAGAAACACACAAACTCAGACGCAACTGCAAAAATCCAGCTGTGGCTAAGAGAGGCCTGAGAGGAGAGTGCGGCAGCAACGGTGGCAGCATGAGGGGAAGACGAGGAAAGAGAGAGAGAGAGAGTGTGAGCGTTAAGACAGTCCTGACTTACACAGCATGCTGCAGCCCCTCCCCTCCACAGCACTGGCCCCACGCTCCTCCCCAAGCCCCAGGGCAGACTGGCATTTCCAAAATTGAAGGCCCCTGCTCTGCCTTGCTGGGCAGATTACCAGTGTGTGCAGCTTGTCCTCCAGCTCCTGGTTGGTCCGTTGGGAGGCTGTGTAGCTGTTCTGCAGCCTGGAGAGGGCACAGGCAGAGCCTGCATCAAGATCCTTTCTAGGGCCAGATCTGCCCCCTCCTCTCGGGGGCACTTGGGCATGTTCTCCTCCTCTCTAATGGCCTCCAAGACCTTCTCAGCTAACTTTACGAATGCAGAAGCATGTACAGGGATCCTGACCCCTCATTTCCACACCTGCGGAACTTGTCCTTAAACTTGTCCAGCTCCTCTCGGCTCTGGCCCAGCTCCAGCTCCAGGCAGTCCTGTCCAATTTCCAGCTCACGCTCCAAGGCCTCGGTGCGCCTGGTAGCTGAGGCCAGGCGTCGACGAAGCTCCTCATTTTCCTGCTGCAAGAGCCTGGTGGGGAGTGCGGGTGAACAAGGACAGAACAGACATCAGAGATAGAAGGGCCAGTCCTAGAGTCTCAGGCCAGTCTCAGGAAAGAGACTACAAGAGGGTAGGCACTGGGAGCAGGAAGACCCTTCAAAACTTGGCCTGACTTTGGAGCAGCACATTCCCTGGGCCTGCTAGCCCTGAGGGTTGAGGGACACAGGGGATGGTAGGGGATAGCCAGACACAACCCTCCCCCACTGGGTAAGACTGAGGAGACAAAATTGAAGTGGGAGCAGTTTCCATCTCAGTCTCTGGTTACAGTGAAAGCCAGCCAGCCACCAAGCCCCCAGCTCTGGTTTCCCCACGGCACAATCAGGTTTCTCCATTATTAATCTCTTGGAAATCCAGCCCAGCACTGCCCTGCTCTCCAGAGGCCTCACGTGGTTGAAAGAAGGCCTCAGGGAAGCAGTTGGTATAGGAGGGGTGTTATGTTCTCTCTAGAGCCAGGAACTGAGGAAAAGCTCTTTAGCAAGAGCAAGCCCCTCAGAATAAGCTGCCTTCTGGCTATAGGGTCTCTTGGAGCCCATAGGAATAAACTCTTCCAGAAGGAATAAATGCACCAAACCTATTCTCTAAGTTCTAAAATGCCCTATGCCAGGCTTTGCCCCTACTAATGTAAAGAGAAGTCCAACTGTGTAAACAATTGGTCTGAAGCGAGGAGGGACAGAGTTGAGGCAAGTAAAATAGTCTTGGGGGCTGCAGATACTCACTTCATCCGCTCTGCATCAGTCAGGGACTCCTAGTCAAAAAACAACAGAAGTTTAAGGCCACTGCCCTCCTGGTTGGCTCACTTCCAAATAATCCTAGAAAGGGCCAAAGATTCTCATAGCAAAGGGGGGGGGGGCATGGGACTACAGGACCCTCTGGAGATGGAGAAGGCAACCCAGTAATGCCCAGACATGATTAGACTATCCTTTTCCATGCCAATGAGGAGATTAAAGAATTCCTTCCAAGTCCATCCTTACCCACATGAGCTCCAAGCCCTCTCTTAAACCTACAATCAATTGCAAATGGTTCCTAGCAAATATACTCTCCTCTCTAGGCCCTCAGGATAGAGATTTTTCAGCTGTTCACTGGGCTCCTTCATTACAGGAAAGGCAGGGACCATCCAGAAGGGTGAAGTTAGGCTAAGCTATGGGCTCCCTTCTGACAACACTCTCTCAGTCCTTGGGGGGAAGACAGTGGTAAAGTCAGGACCACAGAGCAGCAGGAGGCCCATGAAGAGGCAAGGGGAGCCTCTGCGCTAATCCTTACTGAGGGACGAGAAAGTATTTCGTTTTTAGCTCCTACTCCATTCCCCAAAACTCCTCTTCTAGTCCTGGTCCAAGAGTCAGAGTTCCACTAATCAAAGAGCCTCACTAGTTCCTACTGTCATATGAGGGCAGTATTGTGAGGCCCCCTGGAAATGGAGCTGCTCCTTCTGAATTTAACTTGTGGGTAGGGAAATGAGGGTGAGGGGCCAGACTAGTCAATGGTTAAGATCATGGACTCCACAGCCATTGGCACCTGGATTTGATCTTGTTGCTGCCACTTATGGACTATGACTTTGGACTAAGTCCTTCACCTCACTGAGCTTCACTTCCTCTGCTAAACTGGGAGAATGTTCACTGGGTGACACTGAGGTTAGTACCTGCCTGTTTGCAAATCATAGCATTTCTGCCCTGAATCTGACCACAGAAGCCCCTGGGACCCCTGATGCTCAGTGTCTTTCGACAACCCTTCAAGTTCTTGAAATGTGCTCCAGGCATTTCAGCAGGATGGAAGTGTGGCCACATGGGAACACTCCCTGCAACACTCATGTCTTCCCGCTGGGAGTTTAGTGAGGAAGGACGCCAGCTTGGAAGACTGTGCAGTCGCCTCGAGGCCTCCTAAGAGCAGAGCCTGGCTCTAACACAGTTCCTGGCAGGGACCACATACTTAACAAATGTTTGCCAAACAAAGAAGCTGGAGGAAAGGCTAGACTTCCTGGGAACAGTGAAGATAACAGCTGGGCCAGCGGGGAAGTAGCTGGAGCACGCCTCCTCACAGCTTCCAGAGGGGCTGCATGCTCACCATCACCAATAGGAGATTAGGACCCTTCAGGATGTGTGCCTGCCTGGCTGCCCCTCCCTTAGGGAGAGCAGGACTTTAAGGGATCATTTCTGTTACGAAGCCTCAAGATGTTCATCAGCATGTGGAGAGACACAGATGTTCCCAGGAACATGTTGCCATCACCTGCTACAACCAGGACACCTGAGGCCTCTATCAGCAATGCTATCCTCTCAGGGACAGAAGTCAGCCAGGTGGCGAACCTCAGGGGACTGCCCCTACCAGCGAGGGCAAGGGTACCAGTTTCACTGACCTCCTGCTCATGCCAGGATCCAGGGGCTTCCAGCCGCAGCTCCCGATGTTCAGGTGGGGCCTTACGATAGGGTTTCTTAGCTGGGGCAGCACTGGTCATTCTGGGAGGTAAGGGTTCCTCAACCTGCTGAGGGGAGGCAAGGAAGGAGGCAGCTCAGAGATGCAGTCAAGAGGACTTTAAGTTGAAAAAAGATGACAGTTGGTAAAAGGGAACAAATACAGGAGCTACCACGTAGGCAAATAGGCCTGGACCATTGCAGGGGTCATTAGAAGGGCTGGACTTTGCTGTATCCATCTCCAGGGGTCAGGAGAGTGTTGAAGGTTGGGGCATGGGTCCAATAGGAAACAGACAGAAAGGCAGAAGCTGACTGTAAAATCCAGGCCAGGGTCCAGAACCTAAGCACCAAAAAGAGGGGGTTATGCCCTAAGTGGCAGGGCAGAGACTCTAGAGAGCAGCCTGTCACTGCCTTCTGAAGATTCCAGAGGGAAAAGTGGTCTTTATCTCAGTTTCTTCAACTCAAAACTGGAGATAAGAATAGTTGCAAAGATTAAATGAGTTAATCCACGTAAAGTGCCCGTTAACTTAGTTAGTGTAAATAATAAGCATGTAAGGATATTCACTCAACACAGCGGAGTCTCCAAATTTAAGAGAGCACTCTGGCTGGAGCCACTGAAGGTTGAACCCCTCTGGCCTCTACCACTTTCTTTTCAACAGCACCCACCAAGAGGGGCCACCTGCCTGCCTTCTCACCTGCCAACCTCCTAAGAGCAGAACCAAGAGGGGCACAGGCCTCATCAGGAACATACCGTCTGTTTGTCGGCAGCTCCCTCTGTTCTGCTGTCCAGCATTAGCCCTCGGCTCTCCGCATCCCACGGCCCCTCCACTTCCTCTAGCCAACAGCTCCTGAAACCAGAGACGGGAAGAAAGTGGAAACCAGGTGTCAGCCGCCTGTCTGTCAGTGCCACAGGCCTGCATGCCCAGTCGGGGAACTGGAGGACAGAGAGAGAGAGACAAAGAGACAGGCTTTCCACAGAGCAGGGGCTGTGAGGAAAGACCAGAGGCAGGGACAGGACTGGAAACAGTGGGGCTTTGCTTTTCCCCAGGAGGGCACTGTCCAGGCCAGGATGACAGACACAAGTGTCTGTGTTTGTGACCCAGCTCTGGAAAAGGTACAGTGCTGTCCCTGTCTCCACTTATCTGTCCTAGTCATCTCACAGACCTCTCAGAGTTTGAAGATCACTAAGATTTAGGAAACGTAAGTTGCAGAAGAGAACACCAGGGAAGAGCCTAGTAGTCCCAGGAAGACGGGCCAAGATGCTGGAAAGAAAACCAGTTTCCACAAGAGGCTAGACTCCCAGGTACAATGACAGTCCACAATCTTCACAATGAGGAGGTGTCAGGACTGAAGTGTGTCCTCCCAAAACATGTTGTCTTTGTTTTGTTAATGAGACAGAATTAGTGTCGAGTGTGTTTTGAATCATTCTCATTTGATGACAGAAGACCTTAAACAAGCAAGAGGAGATGCAGTGATGAGAGAATAAGAAAACAAGCTATGAGGACCTCAACAAAGACATTCCTCCAGAAGTGACAGTGAGTGAGTGGAAGCCTTCCTCTAGGGCTAGTGCCCTAAACTAGGAGGAAAAGATTACTTGTTAAAGCCATTCCCTTGTGTATTTCCGTTATAGCAGCACTAGACAACCAAGACAAGAACTAAGGTCTAGAGGGAAAAATGTGGAAAAAACCCAACAGATTGAAAGTGGTTCTCAGCCAGGAGAGTTCTGTCCATCAGGGGACACTGACAATGCCTGAGACACTTGTTAATCAGCGTGAGTGTAGACATCACCATGCTATTAGCACCTAATGGCTAAAGGCAAGAGACACTGCTAAACATCCTACAATGTGCAGACAGCCCCATACAAGAGAACTATCAGCGTAAGATGCCAAAAGTGCTGAAACAGAAAAAAACCTGGTGTAGAGAAAACCAAAATCTGGTGAGTTGGGACACCAGAGTTACTGGCTCAGGGCCATTTCAGATAAGCTCCTGGGTAAGTCTCCTCAGTGGATACGGCTGTTCCTCATCTACACAGAGGCAGCCAAACTGAGTGACCTGTGAGGTTCCCCTCAGACTCGCATGCTTCTCTGGCCCCCGCCTGTAATAAGCTGGCCTGCAGCACGGGGGCAGCAGCCACCAGAGGGAGCAGTGGCAGGAGTAACCTTAGGTGGCCTTCTGGGCATAAAACCCCAATATTCTCCACCCCCATTCACCTTTACAGAGCTGGGGGCTAAGGGGAGAGCCTTTTGGGCTGAAGCATGTGTTCTCGCTGTCGGGACATGCCCTGGCCATGACTCCTGTCACATTCCAACGGGGCCTGGGGCACCAAGAAGGGTGAGGGTGAGAGGCAGGGAGGGTGAAGACTGGGAGATGCAGGAGTGGCTTCCTGCTCTGTCTAGGCAGCCCTGTCGCTGCCTTGGGAGTTCTGGGGGAGCTGGGGTGGGGCAGCACAGGCACGAGCCGCCAACCTCCGCCCCTTTGATGGTAAGGCAAAACGTGTCCCCACAGGGCACAAGCAGCATGCCAGTCAGGCTGACTCCCAGCACAGGAATCTGGGCGGGCCTGAAAGGACAGCACATTCCTGGGGTGTGGGGGAGCTAAACAAGTCACCCCAAAGGTCCCCTGGCTCTCCTTCCAGAGGCCCCAGGGTAAGCACTCCCGTGGCTGGAGGTGAGACCTGAAAAGTCCCAAACCAACCTGAGGGTCTGGATGCACAAGGAGTATAGGGAAGCTAGCTAGAAAAAGAGTAAGGCCAGAGAACAGAGGAGAGACACAAATAGTCAAGCTGTTGTCACTGTGTGCCTTCAAGTAAAAACCAACTCAAAGCTGACCCTCCAGTGGGTTTTCAGAGGCAGTAGGTCACATGGGAGAAGACTGCTCATCCTTCTCTCACACAGCAGCTAGTGAATTCAAGCCATGGGACCAGTCCTTGGAGACGGACATTATGCTTGGAGGGTGGAGGGACAGTGCAGGAGGGGAAGACCCTCAACAATATACAGATTGACTTAGTGACTAGGGTAATGAGGGTAGATGTGTTGGAGTCAGTGAGACAGGCTCAGGATAGAGCAGGGTTCAGAGTTGTTGTACACAGGGTCGCTATGAGTCGCAAGTGATTTGATGGCACATAACAATAACCACCTTTGGGATTGCAGGGCACTTCCTTACCACTAAACCACCAAGAGTGTTGACAAAAGTCAGTGTAAGGCTCCTGCCAGCTGGCTTCCCCACTGGCTCCCCAGTCTGCTCAGTAATTCTTTTTCCCCCTGTAGGTTCTTTTTGTGGACCCCTCTCTTGACTTCTTTGTCCTTCACCTAATCCCCGCACTGTCCTCAAGGCACCAGGATCCTTGTATGAATGATGCGCAGGAATAGAGAACATGGAACACATTCAGGCATCTGGCAATTCTATCTATAAGGAGCACTGGCCTCATGCCTTGTTCTACAGTCCCGCTCTAGTTGTCATACATCTTAGAGTTCATCCTGCCTCACATACTCCAGACCCTATGTTTCCAGCCCCAGCCCCACAGTATACATTCTCTGCTGAGCGGGAAGCCAGCATGTATCAACAGAAAATCTAGATATGGGAATGGCTGTGGAGGTGGGAGTAGTTCTTCTAACTACAGCCCAGTCTCTTCAAACACTTCCAAATCATGGGGAGAGGAACCACTCCCACCTGGGAACAGAGGGCAAGGCTCACCAGGGAGCCAGCAGGTCCAATACAAGTCCAAGGTGACAGTGTGTCTCGTCTCATATCCATAAACACGTCACACACTCAGACCCTAGCCCCAACTCTGAAATCTGCTGAGTGGCCTAGATCCAAATCCATGAAGGGCCCACAATCACAGCACTGACCAGGAGGCCCACTGGAGAACGAACCAAGCCAGCAGCGGGACACTGAGGCCCACTTGCTGGGAAGAGATCCAAGGGCGAGCAGAAGCACAGAGCCGTGCCTCAGAAAGACCCCTTATCAGATGCTGTCCCTACAGCCCCAATTCTCCCACCCAAAGGTTTCCCAGGCTGCCTTAGAGCACTTTAGCTCAAGGAGGAATCCCAGCAGCGTATCTAGAAGAGGAAGCCCCTGGGGAAAACAGCTGGACAACTCAGAGTGGGGGATGATGAGCAAGCAGCAGTGAGAGACCGCACTCGGGCCTGTGAATGCTGAACCAGCTCTAGGATGCCTCCATGAAGATGGGTCTTCTGCAAGAAGGTCTACTCCCTCTCCATCCTGAACTACCTGAGCCTCCCTCAAGATCACTAGTATGTGGACTGCCGTACCATGGGAAGGCTACAGGAGCTGTGCCCTGGAGAAAGGCTCAATCAAGTCTGGGGTTAAACTCTGGCTGCCCTGCAGGCCCTGCGGAGGGAGCTTCCCAAGGAGCAGTGATCCCCTCCCCACCTCATCAAGTGAGGTCAGAAGGGAAATCAGCTCTTCTTACCCCGTTCTGCCCGCCCCCTTCCTCCTCTGCATAGCAGTCATTCTTCACTTCTCAAAATCAGCACCGAGTAGACTCTGAAGCTGCTGGGGCGGAGGAGGGGGTGACAGCTTCCTAATTGCCGTGTTGCAATCTGCTAGTCGGTACAGGCAGCCTGTTGCCGCCTGCCCTGTATTAAATACCTTCTCCCTGATTACAGCCCCATGGGGCACGATTAGCTGCCTTTAGAGAACAAAGTCTACTTTCATTAGAAATGGGACTAGGCACGCACAGCAAACTTGCACTGTGAACCCGCAGGACAGCTGAGGAGAGTGTAGACAGAGGCACATGTAAAGAGAAGTCTACAGCAGAAACTGGCTGAGCAGGGTCTTTTAATTCCCAATTTGCCAAGCACTGCCCTTTAGCCAGGACCCAGGGCTCTACCTGCTTCCTCTGTGGGTAGGGAAAGGGTATTTGTCTGTGCAGGGCTTCCACTGTGGGCAGCTGCTGGAGACGGAGTGGAGGAGAGTGAAGACTCCTATGAGCTCCAGTTCTTTCCACACCACTATCCTAATTACTCCTCCCAGCACATACCCACAGGAGGCAACAACAAAACATTTAAGCCCAAGGACCAAG